CTTTTCTGTTATTGTTTTTAGTTTGGTGTTTCTTTTTCTAAACTGCAACTTATAATGTTCTGCTACATTTGTCTTAATCTCTTCTGGCTTCATTATTAGATATGTCTTCTCTTCTACTTGCTTAATAAGTCTATCGAGCAATATCTTTTTGTATAATTTATTTAGAAGGCTAGCAAGCATTTTTCCTTGGTCTGTTCTGATTATTTCACATCATTTATCTATATTTTTTCTATTTGCCTTCTTTGCATTTGTTCTCAGTTCTTTTTCTTTCTTTCTTGTAAGATCTTCTGCCAACTCTTCATGTCTTCTATTCAGACATGTGACCAGTGCCTTTGTAGTTTTGGCAATTTTGCTCCTGCTTTGTTGCTTAGTGCTTTTAATTGTTTATTTGTTTCAATTTTTTCTTCTTTAGTTACTTCTTGGTTTTTTCTCATCTTTGCATATTTAATTAATCTTTACATCTTTATGATATTTTTTTCTTGTTGTTGTGCTTTTCGACTGGTTTTTCTATTTGCTACTGTATCATATATTTTTTTTTTGGGTATGCTTGTTTGCTGCAGTGATAATTGCTTCTTCTATTGTATCCCATATACCGTTTATCTTATTTAACTGCTCTTTCTCATCTTATACTTCTGTTTGAATATTTTTTAAGCTTTCTTTTATTAACAATTGCCTTTGTAGTTCTTGTGCATAATTTTCCCAATTCTTTGGCTTTGCCTGATCATATAAATATAATGTTCTTGATTGTCTTTTCTTTTTAATTTCTGCTTTACTGTTTTTTCTTATTATGTGTTCAATCCATATTTCTGCAGTTATTATTTTATAATTACTTTCTGTAATTTCTTCTGTTTCCTCAATGTTTGCCTTTTGCAAACCCAAAGCCAATTCTTCTGATATCCAAATATAGTCAATTCTTGTTGCAGCCTCCTTGTTTGACTATATATACTCTAACTCATTGGATGCATATTCCTATATGTGTCTATAAAGCTTTGCTTTCTTATCCAATTAAAGATTGGTAGTCTTTTAAAATTTGCTGATTGTGAGTGTTGTCTGTCTATTACATTGTCTACTATATGATTAAAGTCACCCATAATTACAAATTGTGTTTGTCTTTTCTGTTTGGTAACCCTTTCTACAATCTTTTGCTGAATGGTTCTCTCTATTGTCTTGTTGCTTGGCAATATATAAATTCCTATTATTACTAACTCCAATTGCTTAAAGTATAATATGATCTCTATTATGTATTCATTTGTTCTTTTGACAGCACCTACATTAGCAAAAAATATAAGCAAAGTATTGCAAAAGATTTTGCATACCTAAAATCTTTCAAAATAACTGCAATTGATGCGAAATTCTTTCGAAATAAAAAAATTTTGCAATATTGCAAAATAATCGAAAAAATTTCGCAATATTGTAAAATTATTAGCAAATTTTCATAATAATGCAAAATAATTAGAAAATTTTCGCAATAATGTGAAACAATTAGAAAATTTTTACAATAATGCAAACTACTGTAATCAAAAAATTTTCACAATAATGCAAACTAATCAAAAAAATTTCACAATATTGTGAAATAATTAGAAAATTTTTACTATTACTAAATAATTAAAAAATTTTCAAAACTATTTATTAATTTATTTAATTTTTAATTATTATTTATTAAATATAATTTTTTATTCAATTTTTATTAAATAATAATTATATAATAATTACATAATAAAAAAACTATACTATATATTCCAGTCTCTATTAAACCTTCTTAGTGAAGCACAAAACTTACTAACAACACAAAAAAAAACAAAAAAAATAAAAAAAAACAAAAAAAAAGTGAACTGATACTTATTTTATACCAGTTTCAAGTTCAAGTCCTGATCCTGGTCCCCATTAACCCTTCTTGGTAAAGCACAAAACCTAAAGAAAAAGAAAGCAAGAATTAGTAACAATACAAAAAAAATATGAAAAAAACAAAAAAAACAAACTGGTACTTATTTTCATCAGCAAATTATATAAATGTAATCTTATATAAGTTATTATGAACTGAAAAATTCTGTAATAATTACAATCGATGCAAAATATTTTGTAATTTTTAATTATAGAATATTATAAAATATATTACACTATATTACAAAAAAAATTTTGCAATATTTTGTAATAATTCAAAACTAAAAAAATAAATTAGCTATAAAACTGGAATAAATAAATATATTAATTAAAAAATATGAATTAATTCAGATATATTAAATAAAATTCGAACTAGATCAAATTGTACTTAAATTATTGTAATTTAAAGTAAATATTCTAAAAATATTTAATAATACTATTTTATTCATTTATTATAAAATAATTTAATTTGATCAAATTATACTAAATATATAACTAAAATCAATTTATTCAAATAAACATATATACTACAAATTTTACAGCTTAAATCTAAATTTTATTAATAAATTTATTTTAAATATTACATATAAAAAATCAAAACTATGATAATCCTATTTTAAAGAAATATATAAAAAAATAAAAAACAAAAAAAAGTGCAGTATTATTCATATATAAAAAAACAAAACAAAAAAAAACTTTTACTTATTATTATTAATATATTTGTTATTATCTTCAGATTCATTTTTACCCTCTTCTTGATCTTCATCCAAATTATCTTGATCTAATTCAATGTATTCTAAATTTAATTTATTTAATTAAGATTACAACAATTCAAATTATTTTGAATTGTTTTCAATTTTATATTTTATTACTTACCAACTCTTGATCTTTTGCTTATCTTAAAACAAAATTATAAAAATTAATTTATATTAATTTAATTTAATTAAATTTAAATATTATATCTTTTTAGATTTATTTGATTTATGTTTACGTTTTCTAACTTGATCCTATTTAATTAGTTTAAATTTAAATATAAGAAATATTTTTTTGTAATAAATTTAAAATATTTTAATTAATTAAACTATACTTTATCAACTTTTTCTGATTTATTATCAATTGATTTTTCTCTATTTTCACTAAATTCTTCATCTTCATCTTTAGAGCTTGAAATATAAAAACTGCTATTATGCTCTAATATATTCTATAAAATGTGAATTAATTCAAATCTATTTAAAATATTTTAAACAATTTTTTTTTTTTTTTTTTAAGGTGAAGTCTTGCTCATATCTTTATTAAGTAATTTATAAAATAATAGCATATATATAATATATATATTTCTACTATTTGTACTAGTACAAATAAAAGGAAAATTACATGCAAGAATAAAAGCTCAAACAATTAAATAAATCTAATTTATCTGTGACCTAAATCTACTAGAGTGGTCAAAAACTCACCTAGATAATATCATTTATAGTTAAAATAAAATTAGAGGTTGTATGATACTTGACTCACAAAGTGGCCCAAGTACTAATTTTTCTAAAGGCCTGTTTAACAAGTAAACAGGTTTCAGTATGTGAATGAAGTTGATCAGGTTGATCACAGAGACAGGAATATATAAAATTTTTATGAGTATGTGTATTATTTTTACTGTGAGAAGATGATGTTTGTTGCTCAGTATGTGTATATGTTATTTGTTGTTGTTTTTTCCAATTTGAAAATTTAATACAGTAGGGTTTTTATAATTGTTCGTAAATTTGTTTGTTGATTTCAAGCAGAATATTAATCGTGATTGTTGATGCTAGTTTGTATGGGACTTCTAGATCCTGAATAGTTTTGATTAGAGATAAAGGAATAAGACCTTTAAGAGTAGTTTCTCAACAGTATAAGGTTAGGAAAAGAGGTGTTTCTTGGAAAGCTGAATGGTCTTTAATCCTTTAAATAAGTTTGTTAGTTTTGTTGTTAGAAAAGTCTAAATTGGCTGAATTTATGCAGTAAGTTATTGCATTAGAGATAATGCTATCAAGCAGAGGAGCATTGGCACAAGTACACCAATGTAATGGTGACATAGTTGAATTGCAGTAAAAGCAATTGGCATTATGAAAGGTTAAAGGATAGATTTTATGATATAGGTGTTAAGTAGGTAGTTCATTAAGAAATATTTTAATTTTAAATGATTTGGATTGGTTAAGTTTAAAATTAGTAAGATTGTAAGTAGATTTTTGATTATGATTAAAGTATAACCAGGTTGAATTCTAGTCAATGTGGTGAGCTAATGGGGTCTATTCATTATTTCATTTTTGTGATAATCATAGTGCAAGGTTGTAAGCTTTACAGATACTTTTAACAAAGTATCTAGTAGGAAGTTCAATAGGAAACTTTTCTGTTTCGAAGAATAATAGATGATATGGATTGTGAATATTCATGTAGTTAAAGTATAATAGGGATTCGTTTATATGTTGCTTAGCAAGTGAGTCTGCTAGGTTGTTAAGGGTGTTGTCTGAGTGGGCTTGAACTTTATAAAAGATAATATTTAGTTTATATAATTTAATAATGTTTAGTAGGGTATGCCATAATGGCCAGGAATTAAATTTAAAGAGTTTGTTAGGATTTGAAGATGATTGATTAAGTTGAATAAATTTTGATATTATGGATTGGGAATCTGTATAGATGTTAATTGTAGAGTTTCGGGAAGTAGTTGAGATAGCAGACAGAATAGAGAAAAGTTCAGCCTTGTAAGATGATAGCCAAAGGTGAACTTTGGCAGTAAATTTGTGGATAACTTGAGCATTAGAATCTACTTGGACCTAGCCGATACCCATAGTACAGTTATTTGTACTCATACCAATTACTAATCCATCAATATAAAAGTTAAATGAGTTGTATAATAGATTATTAGAGGATATTTGATTAAGTTTGTTAGTTGCTTCACTTGCTTCGAAAATTGCAGATGAGATGGAGTTGGAGATAGGGATGGAAGGCAATGGTAGTGGTAAAGAATTTGGCAAAGGCCATTTAATTGCAGCAGAACTGAGAAAGTCTAAATAGTTTGCATTTATTTTAACTGAGTTTGAAATAATTCTACTAAAAAATTGAGCAAATATAATAGATGAAGTATTAATAGTGCATGATGTAGTTATTCGTTGTGAGTTAAGTTGACAGCCTGGACAGGAAACAAGATTAATCTGTTGAAGTGGATAGTAATCAGTATTATTTATATTGATATCTGATTGCCAGTATGTGATGGATATTTCGTTAGAATCTGTAAAATGTTTACAGATTTTGTCTATAATGATTTTCTCATTATTAAAAGTAATTAGCCAGGGTTTATGTTTTTTAGGAATATTGTATGTATTATATGCAAAGGGGTTAGTTCCTTGCTGTTGATATTAAGATTTGAGAGAGTGATGATAATGATTTTATATAATAGAATTTTCAAATTCAGTAAATCAAATCAGTTTTCTGCCTTTAGGTAAATGAAGAATTCTTAGTGATAAGTGTAGCCATTCAAGAAGTGTAGAGTTGTCTGAGGTGCTGAGTTGTTCAAGATAAAGTAGATTTAGTCATCTAAGTTGTTTTTTAAAAGTTGTGTATTTAGGGTGATATTGAAGAATAATTTCAAGAGGTTGAAGCTAGTAATAGATAGTGTTTGGCCATGATATATTACTATTAGCTCTGATAAAGATAGCAATTTGTGGAAATAGTTGGATAATTTTAAAGTTGAGAGTATATTTATCTTGACCATCAACATTAGATTGAGGATGTTCAAGAATGTTTATAGTAGA